TCCACCGCCAGCACCATCGCCAGCAACGACAATATTCTGAGGTTGAATTGCCAAACCATTTGGGTCGGTCAGATATAGGAATGAATGTATCGCATCATGAAGTCCACAGGGGAAAGGACCCTCAGGTGCAAGTCGATAATTTATTGCTAATTTATTATAGCATACACGTGATGATCAGGTGATTTTGTTAAAATTTAAGATACTTACCAAAAACTCTTCTTCCCGTAGCTCTAGATAGTCGATAATTCAAATCTCTATGCGTCCTCGCTGACATGAAGCAATAAGCACCACCATGTAAATATAAAACTACTTTTTCATTTGACCACTTGATGCCATTCTGATCAACATAAACATGTTGCTGGATTGAGGCATTCAGAAAATAATCATCGTTAATCTTTCTCCATAAATCCTTGGGCACAACCCATTCGCCGCTAATCTCTCTCCTGTCATTTTCAGAATCCTCTAATCCTCTGAGTATGCTTGGTAAAGACTTATTTGAAACTCTAAATGAAACAGGAGTTACAAGGATATCGGAAGGGACCAGGGAGAAAAGAATATTTAAGAAACTTCGAAATTTGTTAATATCGGCAGAATAAGTGTGTTCTGTAAGGGTTCTCATTGCGGTGCACATCAAGGTCAATTGCATTGGCCACGAGGGTTTTCGTGGGCCGGAAATTTGGTGAGCCAAGAATTTTAAGGTCAGGATGGTGGCCTGAGAAGTTAATAAAATCGCGTGGTCAACAAGCTTCCAACTATTGATTGATGGAGAAGAATGACAAGAGGACTTCAAGACAAGAGAAGACTTTTGGGAAGATTTTTGTGATTTTTGAGTCTGTTGTGTTCTTCGCAATTTATCCGCGAAAATTGTTTGAAAGGAGTTTAAATAATGCATTGTTTATTTTTATGTTCGGATTAATTTCTCTGTTTGTTTGTGCTGAATTGAATTAAACCGATCGGGATTTTATAAATCATCGAACGGTTCTTAAAGATTTTATATGTTTTTTTTTTTTTCGCCTATGCATATAAGTATAAATGTCCATGCAAATGGGCCATCACACATTATTATAAAAGTTCTGGGTTCTTACATAAATTATGGATAAATATGTAAGTGGTTAAGTGGTAAAAAAAAACTGTGTGAGTGTGGAGTTCAGGCGACAACCAAAAAAACTCATCATCATTATATAAGGAAAAGTGGCGATGCGCGTAATCGTGATAACATGAAAACGTATCTTGAAAAAAAAAAGGTCAAATATTCTGTTAAATTAGTGATAATGAACATCGAAAGATGTGAAATTCAGAATAAGGTAATTCTTCATGGATTATTATTTAGTAGAAATCAAGGTAATAGCACGATTGTATGTCTTTTTGATTTAATGATGTAACTTTGGTAGGCATATCTGAGATCCTAGAGGATTACTGTGGGGTAAAAAAAAAAAAAGCGGAGAACAGTGAAATTCCTGCTTCCCTCATCACTATTATTAGAAATATTGAAAAATTATGATTTACACATGTTCAATACATAATCCATGATCAGGATGGTGGGAAAAGAATGCATTTAAACAAGTTTTTTCCCCACAAATACTAATCCAAATTAATATAACATCGCCACTTTGTAAAATGTTGTTATGGAAGACGAAATAAAGTTGATTTTCATCATTTTCATCATTATTATCCTCATCACAACAATAACGTGTTCTCTTTAAACAATAAAATAGCCTCTCAGTCAAAATGCGAATCTAACAAAGAGACATCCATTTTTTTTTCATGAACATATATTACGCAAATAATGTGGCATATGACTGGTCATTATGTGTGCACTAACGCAACTTTGGATTTCTTATCATATGTACTGTATATGCAACTCCTCCCAAAAAATGTTTTATCAGATAAGAAACCGTATTATTTCTCAGACTTCATTATTCTACAATTTTATCTGTAATTAATTAATTTATGATCCTACATGTATCATTTGATGATACAGCCAAATGCTCACCCCCTAAATGCAGGTATTATTAAAGTCTCCTTAGACCAAGTTATTCCCCGACTACAGATTTCAGTGAAAACGATTTCTAAATGCAGAGATATATTATATAAATATCAATTCCTAAAATGTACGGTATGTATATTTGGTGTTATTATGACCGATTTTATTTTGAAAATTAATCAAGTTTGCTTTTTATAGTGGTACCCATAAGTTTTTAGAAATTTTTTTTGAAAAATTAAAAAATATATTATTATTTAATAAATATTAATCTAAAAAATACAAAAAAATTTAGTATAAATTTTTTAGTATTAATAAATAATCTTAATTAAAATATTTTTTTATTAATTAGTAATATTATTTAAATATTATGTTTTTTTTTTTTTAATATTATATTTCAAAAAATATATTATTTTTTGTCTTATTTATTACAAAAAAAACATATAAAAACATATATATATAAGTTCAATTTTATGAAAATCAAGTTATAAAATTAATATATACAGTAATATAAAAATTTTACTTAAAAATAATTATTAAAAAAAAAATTAATAATATAATTTATAAACTAATTATAAGTAAAAATAATTTTATAGTATTCAAATATTTATATTTAAATTTTGATTTAATTTAAATAAATTTTTATTAAGTTAAATATATTAAAAAAAATTTTTTAAACTTTTGAATACCATTATATATTAATTTTCTTGTCTATTAAAATGTAAATGCAATTTATATAAATAACAATAACAATAATAAAATAAAATAAATAATTTTAAAAATAGATAAATAAATTTATAATTGATTGATTTTTTTAAAAAAATTTTGAATAATAAATTTTTTGATTTTTTATATATTATTTTTTCAAAATTAAAATAAGAAAAGATAAAAATTTGATATAATTTTTTCTGCTTCATATTTTTTTTTTTTTTTTTTTTAGCTAAAATAAGACTTTTTTCTAGTTTTATTAATATACGTAATAAGTTTTTTACATATATCATATATAAAAGGTTAACTATACTAATTCTATATTAATTAGAATCCATCCACAGATATTTCTGACCATCCGGGTTAAGTCTGCCACCATTTTTTATCTCTCTCAATTCTATCATTCATATTTTTTTCTTGGCTTTTTTTGCCGTATATCAAAATATAAATGGTTGGCTACCCCAAACCAACCGTCAGTAAGTGTCAAATTTATATCATCCCTAAGTATTTTATCAATTTTTCCTATCCCAGGTTTGCAAGTGGTTTTGTATCCTCATATAGTTAGATTATAGAGACTATCTTCTGGTAAATAATCGTTAATTTCTATTGGTGCTCTTCCATTCAGACAGATTTGGTAATTTTCTGATTTGTTTCCTGCAGATCTAATCAAGTTTTTAATATATTGTTCATTGAGATCATCCCTTTTCACATGAAACATGTGATTGAATTCTTTGTTATTGTTGTTATTATTATTGTCCCTTTTCACATATGACATGTGTTTGGGCTCCTTATTGCTATTGTTATTGTTCTTGTTACTGGCAATAGTTGCAATCCTTTCACCACTGGTAATGACTTCTTGTATTGGTTTTTCCAAAGCTTGAACCCTATCTACCTCCATACTCTTTGTTTTATAAACCATATTATAATGTGTTGTTCTTGTAATAGGACTATTAAAATTTTTTCCACATTCTATACACGGACATGTCTTTGGAGGTGTGGATTGTTTAGATAAAGATTGTTTATTTACTTCTGTTCCCAGTTTCTTTCCTTCCTGAGATTTCCTCTTTTTAGATTATTTTTTTCTTTTTTTTTTTGAAAAGTCTGGGTTTGGTTAGGAGGTAAGAACTTGTTGTTTAGAGATACTAAAACTGACCGAAGAAACTCTTTTTATCTATTTGGAGAAGAATTCTTTTACTTGATTCAACTGTTCCATTGGTCCAAAGTATTTGAATTTGACACTGTAGGGAAGATTTATCTTTATAGTAATATTTATTGTATTTAAGTCTTTGGAAATAAAAACCTTACTTCTCATTATTTTTGAAAAAACTTCTTTTTAAGAAAATTTTTTAACAAAATTGTGATTCTTCTGCTTCATATTTTTGTTTAATTAATTTAATAATTATAATTAATTTTTAATATGTTTTATTTAATAAGTCTTATTTTATAATTTGATATAAAAATTTAATATATTTTAATAAAATTTATTAAAATTTAATAATCTATATTCAAAAGATATTTCTATAAAATAATAGTTATATATATTATAAAGAAATTTCATTTCTGATTAATAATAAAGTTTAAAAAATCTTTATCAATATTTACTTTTCTTAGAATTTGTTTAATATCTAATAAAATTTGAAATTTTTTTATTATTGACTATATTTTATTCAATATATTATTTATTAATATACTTTTTTTAATCCATATTCATTTAACAAACCATTTGTCAATATTTAAAAAAAGACAGTATATAAAATTAATAATTAATATCAAATAGAATTAAAAAAATAAAATAAGTAAAAAAGTTTTAATTACTTGATATAATTTTTACTAATAAACTATTTTTATATACAGAGAACCTTCCTTAAATGTACCCTCCATAAATGCATTCCTTCTTTTAATACACCTTAAAGTATAGTCTCAAGTTGGGGATATAATATTAAATGCACCCTCTATATTCTACACGTGCATTAAATTTTGTAAATTATTTATATATTT